CAAAGGAAGATCCACAACTTTTTTCCGGGGGCGGGGGGGGTCCGCACCCGTGTTTAAATTTGGGGTTCGTCCCTGAAATTTGAGGGTACCCTTTTTGGGGAACCAAAAGGAAACCTGTGAGCGTTCCTATTTGACACAACTCCAACTGGGTTGTGCCAAGCCCGGAGCAAACGGTGGAGCACCTTTCGTAGGTTTAAGGCAAAAGCAGTTTGGTCACTCAGACCAGCAAAAGTCTTTGGAAGGGATATGTTTGCCTGCGGGTTTCCGTGTTGAAAGCAACTAAGGGGAAAGACTGGGGGGGAAAATTGAATACCTGGTGAAATAGATCCACACCTCTTGAACAGATTGCCTATCCATTGACTTAGGGGTTCGGCTGATGTGTGGCACTCATCGAGCAAAGGCCCAGAGCTGTTCTGAAGACCCGATCGCAGAAACTTGGTCTTTGGTCTCTTCTTCGAGCCACGTCGAACTGCATGCGACTGCGTCTTGCTGGAGGTACCCGTTTCGTTTTTTTTGTGTTTTTTTTGGCAAGCAAAAGGAACGTTTCGAAGATACTTTTTCAGGGTCCAAGCTCAAAAAGAGACCTCCCCACACATGGCTTCCCTTTGGGTTCCCTTCAAAGCAACGCCCTTTAGGGGGCCCTTGAAAGACACACACACACACACACCCACATGGTGAGGTCTTAAGGTTGGTCCAATGGGAAAGCAAAAGGACGCCATTTTCGGGCCACCTATTTTGACACATTCCAACCTATGTCTGCGATGTGCTGGATACAATTCGCGTCCTTGAACGCAACATCCGACTGAAGCCCCCGATACCCGAGGTAGCTGGGAACCAGGCAAGCGACAAGCTCCGGATACCTTCTCAACTCTTGAGGTTGCCTAACTTTCGCAGCTCCACGATCTTCCGGGCTGCAACTCTCAAGACACAGTCAATCCGGACTTGGTACCCTGGTACACGTCACAAGTGCCCAAGTCAAGTGCCAACAGGCCAGCAAACTGTCCCCCTCAGCTGACCGGTGTTTGCTCGTTAAACACATATATTTGTTGCTCACAGTTGGAGATCTGAGCGCCAGCTCAAGACACTCGACAGAACCAGATGCGCCACAAGACACTCAAAAGAAAGAAAGTGCGTCCTAAAATTCGATGTATGTACAGTATACATAATATGTATATATATATATATATCTATATGTACATGTATACACATACCCGTACGCAATATATATATATATATATACACAAACTCTTGTGCATGAGTTTCGTTACTTGGCATTTTTCAGACTAGGGCTTTTTGACCAAACCCCATCTAAATATATATATATATATGTCTATACATTACGAACGACACACCCATATGGGGGTTGGCATTTTTCAGGGTTAGCATTTTTGGGATCAACAAAAACACGACCCATTTGGGGTCTCTCTTCATACACATCTCGTTCTATCCACTCGCTTGTATAATAACGTCACAATATGCTGTTTGCTCTTCTTCCAGTCTATGTAGACCATCCAGGTTAGAGTCATCCAGGTACCATGTTCCTCTACTGGCCCTCTGGCTTCCCCCCGTTGAAAAGGTGGAACCAGGCTTCAGCCAACCGTTCTCAGCTATCAAACCATAGGTGTCCTTTTGGAAAAGGATTAGAAAGACAGAGAAACCACTGGAATCAATCTATTTTCAAACAAACCAACGCAAATGGGACACCCATGAGTCAAACAAATTTGCCTGTTTTATGGCTTCACAGGAAAACCAACAAGGCCAATCGCCATTCTGTCCCCTAAAAAAAAAGAAAGGCCGCCCATTCTCACCTTTCAAGCCAGGGCTGTAGGAAGTAACCGCTTCTGTGATACAAGAAGGGCTTAAAGACGAACCCATGGGCGGGATTCCCTTGTATCACAGTGGGGATAAACCCCGAGTGATCCCACCAAAAATGAACACAACCAAAAAAAACATGTAACAAAAACTTGCCAAGAAGAGTGAAGAATAATTGTTTTCTGCAGCCCCAACTAAAAATGAACAGAACCAAACACAGAACAAAAGCTTGCCAAGAACACCTCCCATTGAAATTGAATTTGAAACCCTTTGAATTTTGAAAAGAAACACATTGAACATGAAAACCATGAAACGCCCAACCAAAAAAAAACATTTAACAAAAACTTGCCAAGAAGAGTGAAGAATAATTGTTTTCTGCAGCCCCAACTAAAAATGAACAGAACCAAACACAGAACAAAAGCTTGCCAAGAACACCTCCCATTGAAATTGAATTTGAAACCCTTGTTTGAGAAACACATTGAACATGAAAACCATGAAACGCCCAACCAAAAAAAAACATTTAACAAAAACTTGCCAAGAAGAGTGAAGAATAATTGTTTTCTGCAGCCCCAACTAAAAATGAACAGAACCAAACACAGAACAAAAGCTTGCCAAGAACACCTCCCATTGAAATTGGTTGAAAACAAACACATTGAACTTCAAAAAAAAACCTCTGCAGCCCCAACTAAAATGAACACCCATTGAAATTGAATTTGAAACCCTTTGAATTTTGAAAAAAAACACATTGAACATGAAAACCATGAAACGCCCAACCAAAAAAAAACATTTAACAAAAACTTGCCAAGAAGAGTGACGAATAATTGTTTTCAGCCCCAACTAAAAATGAACAGAACCAAACACAGAACAAAAGCTTGCCAAGAACACCTCCCATTGAAATTGAATTTGAAACCCTTTGAATTTTGAAAAGAAACACATTGAACATGAAAACCATGAAACGCCCAACCAAAAAAAAACATTTAACAAAAACTTGCCAAGAAGAGTGAACGAATAATTGTTTTCTGCAGCCCCAACTAAAAATGAACAGAACCAAACACAGAACAAAAGCTTGCCAAGAACACCTCCCATTGAAATTGAATTTGAAACCCTTTGAATTTTGAAAAGAAACACATTGAACATGAAAACCATGAAACGCCCAACCAAAAAAAAACATTTAACAAAAACTTGCCAAGAAGAGTGAAGAATAATTGTTTTCTGCAGCCCCAACTAAAAATGAACAGAACCAAACACAGAACAAAAGCTTGCCAAGAACACCTCCCATTGAAATTGAATTTGAAACCCTTTGAATTTTGAAAAAAAACACATTGAACATGAAAACCATGAAACGCCCAACCAAAAAAAAACATTTAACAAAAACTTGCCAAGAAGAGTGAAGAATAATTGTTTTCTGCAGCCCCAACTAAAAATGAACAGAACCAAACACAGAACAAAAGCTTGCCAAGAACACCTCCCATTGAAATTGAATTTGAAACCCTTTGAATTTTGAAAAGAAACACATTGAACATGAAAACCATGAAACGCCCAACCAAAAAAAAAACATTTAACAAAAACTTGCCAAGAAGAGTGACGAATAATTGTTTTCTGCAGCCCCAACTAAAAATGAACAGAACCAAACACAGAACAAAAGCTTGCCAAGAACACCTCCCATTGAAATTGAATTTGAAACCCTTTGAATTTTGAAAAGAAACACATTGAACATGAAAACCATGAAACGCCCAACCAAAAAAAAAACATTTAACAAAAACTTGCCAAGAAGAGTGACGAATAATTGTTTTCTGCAGCCCCAACTAAAAATGAACAGAACCAAACACAGAACAAAAGCTTGCCAAGAACACCTCCCATTGAAATTGAATTTGAAACCCTTTGAATTTTGAAAAAAAACACATTGAACATGAAAACCATGAAACGCCCAACCAAAAAAAACATTTAACAAAAACTTGCCAAGAAGAGTGAAGAATAATTGTTTTCTGCAGCCCCAACTAAAAATGAACAGAACCAAACACAGAACAAAAGCTTGCCAAGAACACCTCCCATTGAAATTGAATTTGAAACCCTTTGAATTTTGAAAAAAAAACCACATTGAACATGAACACCATGAAACGCCCAACCAAAAAAAAACATTTAACAAAAACTTGCCAAGAAGAGTGAAGAATCTTTGTTTTTTGCAGCCCCAACTAAAAATGAACAGAACCAAACACAGAACAAAAGCTTGCCAAGAACACCTCCCTTTGAAATTGAAATTGAAACCCTTTGAATTTTGAAAGAACCCTTTGAACATTGAAAAACATGAACAACCCAACCAAAAAAAACATTTAACAAAAACTTGCCAAGAAGAGTGAAGAATCCCTTTGACTTTGACCCCCCTCGCCTCGACGCGGACCTTTGCCATCAGCAGCTCCACCCTTGCCACGTCGTGCAGCGTGCTGCGCGTCTCCTCCAGGCCCTGGCCGGAAGGACTCGGAGCGCCCCAAAATGGCCCTCGCTGTGCCTTAAGGCAGAAACCAAAAGTTGGGGTTGGGGTTCCCCCCCAAAAAGTGTTTTTTTGTTTTTTTTTTGGGTTCATTTTTTTTCCGGAGGAAACATCGAGGTTTTCCTGTTGGTTCCCCGGGTTTTTTCCATTTCAACACCCAGAAGCAAAAAATGGAGGAAACATCGAGGTTCTCCTGTTGGTTCCCCACAAAGGGTACCCACAACCCCCGGGTGGACCCCAGACTTTATAAAGATGCGTACTGTCTTTTTTAGGGGACCCCCTCCCCTCTCCCCCCCCAAAAAAAGAGGCCCTTTAGAACAAAAAAAAAGAGTACCAACCAACAAAGAACAAAACCACACACACACATGTGCTTGTTTCAGGGGCGGAAGTTCTTTGCTTACCCTCTTTCCAACAATCATGGAAGTCAGGACTCCCCAACAGGAAACTAGACTTCCCACACCTTCTCAGTTTTGATTCTTGGGACGGAGGGTAAGCAATCTGGAAACTCCGTACCGAGTGAACATCCCAATCCCCACTAAAATAGACTACAATGGATATTCCCAAAATGGTAGCATTGGTGTTGCCCCACGGCCATCCGATATTGGCTTCCCTTTTGCAGGGGACCGCGCTGGGCCCCGCCCGGAACGGCCGCGAGGAACGGCCGCAAGGTCGGCCTGCTGGATGTGGGCGCTTGCAGCCTTCAGCCGACCTTGACCTGACGGCGGTGCCATTGGCAGTTGAGCTCGGTGAACCGATGACTCGACAGTTCTCAGAGCATCGGTGGCTTTCTGCGAAGCCCTGCTAAAAGTGACTAACTTTTAGTGGGTTTAATACGGAAACCCCATTAGTTGGCAAAAAGTTGAACTCCTAACATCCCTTGGCAATATGCACCAAAGATTGAATCTGGGAAAATGATACGGGCGCCAAAGAACCTACAAAAACAAGAGGAAATAGAACCTTTCAAGTGGGTGCTTGCCAATTGATTGTCTCGGGAGTCTGTCCAAGCAAAGGGCGCCTAAGTCAAATGGAGGGTCAATTGAGAGCCAACAACCAGCAACAAACTACAGCCATCATGAGTCAAACCAAATCTGACATGCTTCTTATCTTTCAGTCTGTAAGGGTCAAGGTTGCAGCGATTCGAGCCTTCATGCCTGCCTAGTGGAAGCAGTGACTGCAAGCGCACCAAGCTGTCTTCCCTCACCCCGTGACTCCAGGAAGACAGGCAGTACAAGTAGATAGGTTTCTCGGGAAAGGCAGCATTCAAGAGCTATATGGCTATATCAAAGAATCTCTGGTCATATGTCAGGTACTGCAGTGGCAAAATGCAAAGGGTCAACGCGCGACGAGCTTGTTTTACAGGGCTGCATACAATCCTATCTCGGTACTCGAGACCACGTGACCCAAAGCGTAGACAGAGCTGCTCAAAGCATCTCAAAGCGCCTCTCTCCCGGCCCCTCACCCGACCACTTTGCCATTCTCATGCTCATTTCGGCCGTCCACCTTGGCTTTTTTTACAACGCTCTCGGGGTTGTACTCATCTCTGGCCAAGATGCTGCCGGGCGCAGGCCGAGGGGGCTGCACCGGCAAGGTCTTTGGCGGGCCCTCACGCCGTGCCTGAACCCACTGCAAGTCGTAGTCCTGGTCTGCGCTGTCGCTGAAGCCCCAAGCACCGGTGTTCCCCGCGACCCGCCGTGAAGCTGCCATGGGCCCAGCAGCGCCCGTGAGATAGGCCGTGTCGTGCCCGGATTTGAGGACCGTCGCCTTTCCGTCGGGTGCGATCGTCAGTGTGAGCGCGCTGCAGGGAGCGAGCTTGCCTGGATCGTCCAGGCTCACCGCATTCATGAGCGCGGCAACGAGGGCAATGGAGGCGGCATGGGTGACCAAAGCGACTCGCTTGCCAGCAAATGCCGGGCTCTGCAGCGCGCCTGCCAAGAAAAGCATGCGACGCAGGTGCTCCACACGCGGCTCGACTCCAAGCTTCTCGCCATCCGGAAGCTCGTCACCCTCCTGGTATGTGGCCACCCACTGCATGAGCGGCTGGTAGCCCTCGTCAATCTCAGGAAAGTACGGCAAGCGCTCATCGACCGTCGGAAGGGCGCCTGGCCGCTGATGTGACTCAGCGAGAGCCCACTCGACCAGAAGCGGCAGGCCTGTGGCGCGAGCAAGCGGCTGAGCAGTCTGCAGTGCACGCAGGTACGGAGACGTAAGGATCGCCTCAATACCCTCGTCGGCCAGATGGGCAGCCAACTCTCGCGCTTGCTCGTGCCCGAGTGCGGATAATGGGGGATCGGATGGTGTCAGGGCGGTGCTTCCGTCGCATCGCCGCTTCCAGCCCTGCTTGTCCTGGTAGTCGTAGCGGTCGCCATGGCGTATGAGGAACAGCGTGGTCGTCATTGCCAGACACTTGCTGATCTGCGGGCTATACCCTCCTTAACAATGTTAGTGTCACATGACTAGCTGTCTTGGTTCTGCTGGAAAGGACAGAAGGGTGAGTGAGCAAGATAAAACAGCAAGCTTGTCTCAGAAATCGATCTGCCCTTCCTGTGGTTTGCACACATGCAAATCGAATGTAAGCACAAAGCTATGTCTGAGCAAAACCCAACGTGACCATGAGTCTCCCGGCGTTCACGCAAACCTGTCACGTGTTCAAAGCCCATGGTCCACATCCCGTACCCACTCCAGGAGCAAAGGCCCGGACCGATGAGCAGATGTACCATGTAGCAACCTGAGCTCGCAACTGACCAGGTATGCGTTGGCGAACAGGGAAGTAGAGATCACTAAACTGATAAAATGCCTGGTACAATACAGGGGAACTTCAAAAATGGATAAAACACAAAGAACCTCCCAAACCGTTTCTCAAAAAGAGCAGGCACCCACCTCCTTGTTCAAATCTTATACTTATCAGGGCGCGACTCCTATGAGCAATCAAGTTTCAGCGCTTTAAGTAGAACCCTTGTAGTGCTTTCCAATCTCTACAGCTCCCAGTGGGCACAGTGTTCTTTGCCATTGGGAACCAAGTGACGACGTTGGTTGAGAAAGTCAACCAATGCAGAGACAGGCATCAAATATCGACCCCCTCACTCTTGCGAAACTTGCAACCGGAACCAACAGAAACATAGACTTTATTCCTGAGCGAATAGGCCAAACAATTTAAAAAACTGTTTGTTTGCCAAGTCTAGTTTGGTGAGCCCCCCATCCAGGAAACGCATGCAAACCAAAAGAATGAAGCACCTTTAGTATTGTGGTCCGTGAATATTGCATCACATTTCAGGTTGCAAAGCTGATGCCACAATAAGAAACAAGTAGTAACTGTTGCCGTCTTCCAACCCCAGTGGCCAACTTCCAACTCGAGTGATCTGTCCCCTAAGTGTTGGTTTTCGTCTCTTTAAGCCAGCCAAACGGGGTCCAGCATTTTGAGAACAGAAGGGCCTGCCATAAAGCCTGCGTTTCAGCATAACACCCAGATGCGGACATCACCGCATCACCGAGAAAAAAACACATGAGTGCACCATAATGTTAACCCCGGATTAATAAACCCCTGGTTGACTAATAGGGGGGTGTCCCCTTTTAGTGGGGATTCATCACTTTTGGAGGGAACACCCCCCTAATAGTGGGACGGGTTTATTAATCCTGAGTCAACATTATTCAGGTAGTCTGGAAAAGCACGTCCGACCCAAACCTCGGGGAAAACCGAAATCCTCTGGAACTGCCAATTTCTGCAGGTTTTGCTTGCTGCATCTCAAGGAGTACTAGGGGAATACTAGGGGAATACTAGAGAAAGTTTTTTTTTTTCCCCCGAGGATCTTGCATTCCTGCATCTCAAGGAATACTAGGGTAATACCAAGGGAATACTAAGGGAATAGTAGGGGAATACTACGGGTGAATACTATGAGGCTACAAGGGGAATATTGAGGAAATACTTGGGAACTGATGGGCCGGAGTAGGTCACCGTGACACCTGAATCAACCGCATGAGAGACAACGGGATTTTTTTTTCATGTAGTCAGCAGTTTGGAGGACCTTCCAAGCTTTCCGTCCCTGGGGAGTGACGGCCCATGCCCACGACTTATCGTATGCGATGGATTGACCGGTCTTATTCAAAGCTAAGGCCGGTCCATTTAGCGCAGAATGATTAGCCTACCTCCTCTTCTGGGAAATCCCAGAGGAAAACTCAACGATCGCGTGGAAATCTCGGAGTCGGAGAAGGCCACTCAGCGCTTGCAACTGAGAGAGGCGCTCCCGCTATTGGCACTTCCTCCTCAGATGCTGGCGCTTCCTTTGCCTCCGCATCTTTCGAGCCGAAAGCCCCGTTGCCATCAAGATCCTTTTGGGCATTCCCGGCTGACACCTCCAGCGCCCTCCATAGCACGAGCTCCGTGACTTAAAGTTGAGTGCCTGCGGCCAAGCTGGCAAACATAGATACGTGAACTTCCAACTACAAGAATGGTGGGGAATCTCGAAAAATACTAGAACAGGTAGCAAGGGTGAATACTGGAAATACTAGGGGAACACTGAGGCGAATACTAAAGATTATACTAAGAGAATACTCAACAAATACTAGAGATACCGAGGGGCAATAGGGGACTAATAGCAGAATACTAGGAGAATACTAGGAGAATACTAGGGGAATACACGGAGAATGCTAGGGGAATAATTTTGGTGAATTCCAGGAGAAAGCTAGGGACTCAGCAAGACATTATTGAGGGAATGCTAGGGGAGTACCAAGATAACACTAGGAGTATACCGAGAACATGCTGAGCAAAGTCCAAAATCAAAACACCAATATACCCAAGCCCTGGTGGTTTCATTTGGCCCCATACCCATATCAAGACCCCAAACGCCGCATCCTGCCAAAATTATCACAATTTCATTTGGGTGTGTCTCAAGAATGGGAATCGGCACCCGCAAAAAGGTGGTGTTATTTGGTTTCTCTCGCAAAATGGCCCTCAAAAAACCAAATCCATTTCAAAGGAAGCCAACATGACATCAACTGACGTGACTCCTGAACATTTGTTTCTAGGCACCGAAGGTTAGATACATTTCCATGTTCCTGTCCACAGTCACCCCCCTCCCATGGACTCTATACAAAAAGTTGTGTATATATATATATATTCACAGGACATATGTATATATATATATATATGGTACCCCCCCCCCCAGAGATCGACCATTTTCTGTGTTTTATCTCTGGTGAGACATCCCAGAATCTGCAAGGTCTCGGGCTTCTGGCTTCCCAACTTCATCTTGCATCTGCCTTTTGGCTGCACAGGATGAACATGTTGGAAAAAACCCGAAGAAAAAAAATAAAAAAAATCAGGGTCCTGGAACAGAATGCCCAGGTCAGAATCTCGGAAAGTGAATAAACCTCGAAGAAATCAAACAAAATGAAAAAAAAACAAAACAAAAATCAAGGTCCTGGAGCAGAATGCCCAGACCCAGTGACTATCTCTCTCAAGGCCTTGATTTTTTTGATTTTTTGATTTTCTCGAGGTTTTTCATTTTTCCAGGTCAGAATCTCGGAAAGTGAATAAACCTCGAAGAAATCAAAAAAATCAAAAAAATCAAGGTCCTGGAGCAGAATGCCCAGACCCAGTGACTATCTCTCTCAAGGCCTTGATTTGTTTTGATTTTTTTGATTTTTTTGATTTTCTCGAGGTTTTTCACTTTTCCAGGTCAGAGTCTCGGAAAGTGAATAAACCTCGAAGAAATCAAAAAAATAAAAAAAAAACAAAAAATCAAGGTCCTGGAACAGAATGCCCAGACCCAGTGACTATCTCTCTCAAGGCCTTGATTTTTTTGTTTTTTGTTTTTTTCTATTTTCTCGAGGTTTTTCACTTTTCCTGATTCTGACCTGGGCAATCTCTCCCAGGACCCTGATTTGTTTTGACTTTTTGTTTTTTTTTTGATTTCTTCGAGGTTTTTGCAGCTTCATGCGTTTCTTGCCCTTCGCCCCTGAGCATCTTCCTTGCAGTGTTGGAGCTTTGGCGTACAGAGCTGCAGTTTTGCAGCCCTGCCAAGTCTGTATTGCAACCAAGGCCTGCAGTGTTGGAACTCTTGTTGGAAATGCCTTGCTTGCCTGTAGTTTGGCAGCCTTGCCAGGGCAGCAGGGAAGCCTGCAGTGTTGAAACTTTGGCAGGTGAGGCGCTCAAGTCTTGCAGTGGCCTTAGTGTTCAACTCTTGCCAAGTGGGTTGCAGTTTTGAGCTGGAACCCAGTTTGGCAGCTTGCTTGGGCAGTGTGCTGGAAGTGCCAGTTTGGTGGTGGAAGTCTTGTAGCAGGTGGCAAGAACCCTTGCCAGGGTATTGAAACTTGGCAGGTTGGCAGGTTGCAGTTTTTTGCAGCCTTGCCCTGCAGATTGGCAGCCTTGCTGGAAATTGTGGAATGTTGCGCTGGGCCAGCAACCAAGTTTCAAGCCTTCCTTGCAGTGTGGGAGCTTTGGCAGACAGAGCTCCCAAGTTTGTTTTGCAAACAGGCCTGTGTTGGAACTTCTGTTTGAACTCGCTTGTCTGTAGTTCAGTGTTGGTGCAGTTGGTTGCAGATTGGATTGGCAATTTTGCAACCTCCAGGTCTGTAGTTTGGCAGCCTTGCTTGGGAAGTCTTGCAGTGTTGAGTTAGCAAGAGGTTGTAGTTTGCAACCTTGCTCTGCAGTTTAGCAGACTGCTTGGCAGGCTTGAAAAGCCTTGCAGTTGGGTGTGCCTGCAGTGTTGGAGCCTTGCAGTTTGGATTTTGCAGCCTTATTTGTAGTTTGGCAGACCTTGCAGCAAGTGGGAAGCCTGCAGTGTTGAAACTTTGGCAGGTTGGCAAGGTTGGCAAGGGCTGTAGTTTTGCAACCCTGCAGTGTTGGAGCTTTGGCGTACAGAGCTGCAGTTTTGCAGCCCTGCCAAGTCTGTATTGCAACCAAGGCCTGCAGTGTTGGAACTCTTGTTGGAAATGCCTTGCTTGCCTGTAGTTTGGCAGCCTTGCCAGGGCAGCAGGGAAGCCTGCAGTGTTGAAACTTTGGCAGGTGAGGCGCTCAAGTCTTGCAGTGGCCTTAGTGTTCAACTCTTGCCAAGTGGGTTGCAGTTTTGAGCTGGAACCCAGTTTGGCAGCTTGCTTGGGCAGTGTGCTGGAAGTGCCAGTTTGGTGGTGGAAGTCTTGTAGCAGGTGGCAAGAACCCTTGCCAGGGTATTGAAACTTGGCAGGTTGGCAGGTTGCAGTTTTTTGCAGCCTTGCCCTGCAGATTGGCAGCCTTGCTGGAAATTGTGGAATGTTGCGCTGGGCCAGCAACCAAGTTTCAAGCCTTCCTTGCAGTGTGGGAGCTTTGGCAGACAGAGCTCCCAAGTTTGTTTTGCAAACAGGCCTGTGTTGGAACTTCTGTTTGAACTCGCTTGTCTGTAGTTCAGTGTTGGTGCAGTTGGTTGCAGATTGGATTGGCAATTTTGCAACCTCCAGGTCTGTAGTTTGGCAGCCTTGCTTGGGAAGTCTTGCAGTGTTGAGTTAGCAAGAGGTTGTAGTTTGCAACCTTGCTCTGCAGTTTAGCAGACTGCTTGGCAGGCTTGAAAAGCCTTGCAGTTGGGTGTGCCTGCAGTGTTGGAGCCTTGCAGTTTGGATTTTGCAGCCTTATTTGTAGTTTGGCAGACCTTGCAGCAAGTGGGAAGCCTGCAGTGTTGAAACTTTGGCAGGTTGGCAAGGTTGGCAAGGGCTGTAGTTTTGCAACCCTGCAGTGTTGGAGCCCTTGCAGGTTGGCAATTTTGCAACCTTGCCAGGGCTCTGCAGTTTAGCAGACTTGCTTGGAAAGTCTTGCAGTGTTGGAGCTGGCCCTGCAGTGTTGGAACCTTGCAGGTTGGCAATTTTGCAATCTTGCCAGGTCTGTAGTTTGGCACCTTTGCTTGGCAGTGCTTTGGCTGGTTGGTAGGGGCTTGCTTTGCCAGATCTGTAGTTTGGCAGCTTTGCCCAAGTGTCTTGGACACTCTTGAAGTTTTGAAACTTCAGGTTGCCAGGGGCTGCAGTTTTGCAAAGCCTTGCAGTGTTGCAGCCCTGGCAGGTGCGCAATTTTGCAACCGTCCTCAACAACACTGCACTTGAATGTCGACCCCAGCATATGCACATCTGTTTCTTGCAGTAATGCACCGCATCTTTCTCAAAACACAGAAAATGGTCGATCTTTGGGGGGGGGATAGCTAATATATATATATATATACACACAGGACATATGTATATATATATATGTATATATATGTATATATATATGTATATATATATATATGTGTAAACTATGTGCTATATATATATATATTATCAGTGCGTGTGCGCGTTTTTTCCTGGAGGGTACTTGTTGCGTAAGTCAGTCAAGTCCACGTGCGTTGCTCTCCGCCTTCCGCTTGGCTCCCCAGCGCAGGCGCATCCAACACTTGGAGCCCGGGTGCGGGCGCAGGTGCGAGGACCCGCTGCCGAACTTGCACTCCTCGCCGTAAAAAAAAGAAGGCTGTTTTGCCCGTAGGGTTTGAATTGGGGTGTGGGGTTTGGGCGGGAGTTAGGGGGGGTAGGCTCGGGATAGGATTAGGATGGTTTAGAGTGGGTTTAAGCCTATGCAGAGGGTGTAAAGACAAACTTCACATACATGGGAGTAGAAATGAGTATAAAGATTGATAGAAGGCGTATAGACAAAAGGTCCCCCAAAAAGAGACAGACCCAAATGGGTATAAAGTTTTATGGAGGGTTCCACTATAGAAGGCTTGTAGAGTCCTAAACCCTTCATTCGTTGGATCTTCATGTTCAGGGATGTTAGGTGACTTGCAAAGTGGTTCCTTGGGGCAACCCAAAGCCAGACTTAAACCCTGTTGAATTTGCTCCCCCCGTGGGTCTCTGTGAGACAAAATCGCCTCAGAGACTTCACGGAGGTTCCCTGAAGTCACAGTGGACAAAATGCGCCCGACAAATCCCGAGGAAACACAAGAAGGATCGGGAGAAGAACGCCATTGCTACTGGGGTCCCACCATTCAAGGCATAAACTAATAAACTGCCCTGCCAATGGGCACCTCAGAATGGTACAAAACATAGCAAGTCAAAATCCACTCTTTGAGTACAGGTTGTTGTGTCTACGGCCTGCGCGACAATCAACATGCACAGGGGCAAAAAAACCAACTGGATTCAATTCGGGGGCGCAATGTCATGAACAGGTGTTGAACCTTGGTTGCTTTCTGCTCCCCTGCTAAAAGTTTAACTTTTAGTGGTTTAATGGAAAACCCATTAGTTAGCAAAAAGTTAAAGTTCTAGCATCCAAGAAAGATGCACCAAAGGAACCACTACCAATCGCAAGGCACCCATGGCTCCACCACACAACTGAGCCGGGTGTTTCCTGGAGCCACAGTCTGCTGGTTCGCTCCACTTTTTTACTCGGTTGCGAACTCTGCCCCGCTAAAAGTGAATAAAATTTAGTGGTTTCATGCGGAAAACCCATTAGTTGGCAAAAAGTTAAAGTCCCAAACATCCCTTGGCAAAATGCACAAAAGAAAAGGGGCCGTCTTTTGTCGGTGGACTCCCAACCTGGTTTTCCTTTCGGTTTCCCATTGAAACCATAAAACAAGGGGTATCCGCACCAATTTCCAACCACAAGACATCCCATCCATCCCCAAAGCAAATCCCCAAGACTCCTGGCACGAGACGGTGCGCGCCGTGCGTCGCAGGAACTCCATGCCGTAGAGCACCTGCAAGAGCTGCAGGAGCAGATTGAGCAGATTGCCCAAACGGGCATGGGCAAACATGATTGGGAGACCCAACGAGGGCATCCAGAATGGTTTTCAATGGCAAAGAAACCAACCGAAGGATCCATTTCAAGACATACCCAGTCATGGGGTTGCACCTTCAAAAGCTGCAGAAGTGCTATAAGCAGATTGCCTAGGTCCTCCAGTCAGAGGTTGGTTCTAATAAGGGTACCCATTTTTTGCTAGGGTCTATTTTAGTAGGGAAACCCTCCCAACCGAAAAAGTTGGTGAGAAAGGGCACCTAGCTGGGCCTAGTTGCCCAGGCTTGTGAATGAAACGGGTATGGGTCAAAATTAACCCACCAGGGGACTGCAGGTTTTTTGGTCCATGCCTGGGTTCCAGTTTGGGTAGCTGCTTTTGACCCACCCAAAGGTCAAAAGCCCCTGTTTGCTTGGGAGTTGGCTTTTACCGGTCCCCAATCAGAGGTCTACATGGCTGATCCAGACTGGCAAGGTTTCCAGGACGCATCAGAGTCTTTGAGGGTCCCGGCGATTCGTGGAGAAATGTGCCAGCATGCGGTTTGAGTAACAGACAAAGGTCAGGGGTCACAGGACTTCCACTTAAGATTCAGCTTTCTGGTGGCTTCCAACAAGCTTTCCACTTGCGGATCTCCAAAAAGCAGGACCTGACTCATTAGAGGTCCCAAAGCAAACCACATGAATTAACTCCAAGGCCACATGCGAAACCACTGATCACGGGCCGGATCAAAAGTGAGTGGGTGTTGCCAAGTTTTTGGGGGAAACAGAGACCCATTCAAGACTGGGCTGCCCTCAGATCCCCCGCTAAAAGTCTAACTTTTAGTGGGTTAAATGGAAACTGCCACTAAACACTAAAATTCTAAGAGGCTAAGGGGCTGGCTGGGAGCCACAAAGAAGACAGTTGCTACACCTCCCCTCCCCTCCCCTCCCCTCCCCTCCCCCAAGAACGCCTGTCAACCCAATTTCGGGAGCCCCACTAGACACTGAAACATCGATTTCTGGAAGAGCCAAACTTAGCGCCCAAAGTTAATTTACTTTGGTACTACCATTTGCTTAAATAAGCCCAGGCTGTATCCCCAACCCTCGGAACCCTTCCAGAACCCTCCCTGAAATCTGCCCCGAACCACCCCTAATTTGGGCAGAGGCCCCAAGCCTTCAGCTGTTGAGAAAAAGGTAGCAGAACCACAGTTGTACCACCTAAAATGGTCAGGGGACTTTGCCAAGACAAGTCGGAGTGGGGCCGGTAGTAAAAACGCACCATGAAGAGTCCTCTGATTCGAGTGCAATCGTTGGGCCTGGCAGAACTAGGGTTTGGCAGATGCTAGTTCCTCCCTCCAGTAGACAGTAGAAGGCTAGAATAAGTTGGTACCGTTTCTTTTTTCTGGTTTGTCTATAGTAGGGGAACCATCCCCCCCAAAAAGGGTAAAAGGGGTACTCTTTCTTTTGTAGTCTATTCTAGGGAAACCCTCCCCCCCTTTAAAAAGGGGAGAGAAGGGCACTACTGGAAAACTTAGGATGGCTGTTTTCTTCTTACAGCGGCGTTGGACTAGCACCACCCGTGTTCTTCGACTGCTGTGTACTCATTAGAGACCTCAAGCGATTGAGAAGCGTCCAAGGCCATTGTCTTTGTTCATGGCTGCTAGCTTCTACAGTACGCCATTGAATTTTAGTTACATCAGAGACTGCCAAGGCGTGAGTTCTCGTCCGTTCCCTTCTGCCAACCCCATACAATGCCCGGGAAATAGACAATAACCTTCTGGGGCCCTGTCTAGCAGTACCCAGACATTGGGAAAATTCAAAGGTTTTAATTTCCAAAGGCGCAACTCCGGTTAGGACGTTTTGCAGCCCCCCGCCTCCAAACAACAAAAACCTGTGTGCGTGTGCAAATATATATATATATATATATATTAGCACATACACACATATTATCTGACTTTCAAAGTGGCCTCGAAAGAGGAATGGCTCTTTGCAAAAAAAACAGGGCACAGAGCAAAACCCCGAACGGCAATACAAAACGTTGAATCCTTCCAAGAACCAAAACCATTTTTTGTCTGGGGGGGCGTCTATCCTGGCGGCTTGGCTCTCGCTCGATGTTTGGCGCCTCCTGGATGGCCTTGCCCAGGTCGCCCTGGCCCTCTTGGATCTGCGCGCTTCGGCTTGGTGCCGAACGTGAAAGCAACGGCTTCGTGGGGAGCTCCGTGGGGGGTCGGGGGGAAAACAAAAACACTCCGGGTGACTTTTTGAGGGTGACGTTTTTTGGGTTAAGAAGACCCTGTTCTGACAGAGTTCGTAGATAAAATCAGTCCACGACAGGATACCAAGGATGAAGGTTCCATGAAACCATTCCCATGCTCGCACGTGGCAAGAGCCACACAAAAGCCAAATAACTCCATTTAGAGCTTCACGGGCAAAGAGACAAATTATGGGGCAAGCTGTGTTTCGGTTGCTAATCCCTTGCGGAGAACCAACTGGAAGAAACAAACAAGACCGGAGATACAAGCAGAAACACTGCCACTACATCAAGCACATATTTCCTTAAAACTGCTCCAGACTCTGTTCGGGTGTTTTGGGCAAAGCCTTGTCATGTCAGCCACACCTACCAGCCCACAGCGCATTGGGCGATTCGCAGGGCGCTATGTCCCAACCTGTCGTCAAGAGTATGTTGCTGGCCTAGTGCTAGCTATCTCAAAAAGAGCCACAGGACGTCACGCTCACTTGCCCTTATGCCGAGTTGGTGGGCCTGAGGAGGGTGCAGCTCCCGCCTCCATACTTTCCCTAAGATAGAAGGGCAGCGGCTGGTTAAACTCTGAGCTGCCCCGATGACGTGTGCGGAGGAGCGACTGCGATGGTCACCCCCATTTATCCATCCATCCGTCCGTCCATCCGTCCGTCCATCCATCCATCCATCCATGCATGCATGCATCCATCCATCCATCCATCCATCCTTAAAACTGTTTCCAAAGAGAATCCAGGTCTACTCCATTTTCCAGTACCACATTGCCACCAAATCAGGCCCTTGGCTTGGTCTTTTGAGCAAGTACATCGTGTGCAAAGCGCTGCTTGAAGATGGATATGGTTGTGTCTCTTTTTGAGGAGCATCCCCATGTGCGCAAACAAAAAGGCCTTCCTTCCGCTAACATAGCCACCTGGTAAAATCTTCTCTCTCCCAAGTGCCCCGAGTCAGGTCGTTGGCCTCGCAGCTCATTGGATCGTGACAAGAACCCTCATGGCAAATAACCCGAAGCTTGGCTCAGCTGATGATACTCAGGTACTTAAAATGCTGAAGCCCACCTCTCTGCAGAAGGCAGCATCCTATTGCCTCAATCAATGACTGCGATCCGCTGACGCTGGACGAAGATATGGGGCTGCTTAGGAAGGGATTTCTGGCAGGATACTGTCCAAAAACCTGCAAGGTCAGATTCCCTTTTCGCAGGCTACATCTGGATATTCTCTGGATATGGATATATATATATATATATATACACATTGTAACTGATATGCAAGTGTGCGTGTCAAAACTAGAGAGCCCTCCTTGGTGAACTGGAATAACATCACCTACATCAGGAGGACGAAAGTTTATGCCTCTTGCTGGTTTCTACGAAGCCGTATGGATCGCCTGCGGGTCGAATTTCCAATTCGGTTTTGTGTGGCAGGGGCGGGGCGGTCAATTATCACCCTCTTTTAAAATTAACATACTTTTAAAGGTTTTGGAGTGTGAAAATTCGACCACGAGTGACCCAGCATCAGCTTGCAGGAATACTTTAAAGGTTTTGGAGTGTGAAAATTCGACCACGAGTGACCCAGCATCAGCTTGCAGGAATACTTTAAAGGTTTTGGAGTGTGAAAATTCGACCACGAGTGACCCAGCATCAGCTTGCAGGAATACTTTAAAGGTTTTGGAGTGTGAAAATTCGACCACGAGTGACCCAGCATCAGCTTGCATCATTCTAGGGGGAAAGGGTTGTGTGCTCTGAGAAGGCCTGAGAGGCGCAACTTTTGTCCTGGCAGTGTATTTCTCAGTTCAGTGACCCTGCAAAAAACAGGGAACCCTTTTTGGGGCTTGGACCACTTTTAGTGGGGCAGCCACCAAAAAAGAGTTGGAAAAATAATTGGTGCCACTGAACAACTGAGGAATTTGCGTCCGGCATAGAAAGTGACGCGCGTCCGCCTCTCCCTCGCCCGAAGCTCCCCCGCGCCTTTCCCCTCATGAGCCGAACTTCCGCACAAAGCTCCCCCTCTTCTTCCGGGAGTGGCCTCGAGAATGCGGGCGCGAAATGGCAGCTCTCAAGTCAGGAACGCGCACGGAAAACTTCAATTTGCTTTTTCGATCCCTGGAAAAAATGAGAAATTGATTTCCAGTAGTGATAGCTTCCCTTTAAAACCAACAGGGGAAAATAACAAATATTCTTAAGCAAATGGAAAGAAAAGCATGTACCCCTTTGAAGTCCTGCGCAACCTCCCAATTAGCCTCCAAGGCCAACAAGCCCTGTCCAGTTTATTCCCTTCCTCCAACTAAGATGGCACCTGTGGGGAGGTACCTGGAAGATGAATTTCCTTTTGAAGGGACCCCTCAATTGCCATGTTAGTTGGAGGGCGGGTATCTGCTGGAGCTTTGCCGAAAGGGGCGTAGCTCTTGGGCGTTTTTGTCTTTGGCTCCGAACAGGGCGACCGGGTAACCCAAAGCACAGGCTCCAGCTTCAAAAGAATACTCGTCTCATCTTTCTTCGCTAAAGAAAGGGGGCATGGCTCAAAAAAAGGTGGCCAAAAAGACCAACCCTTTGAGCCATCCCCTGTCGGGGGGCGTTCGTTTGAGCCAGACCCATTGGCTATTGGCTTGAAAGCCATAAGAACAAGCTCCCACCTTCCCGGAGGTGGGATGAGGAGGTTGCAGCGGCTGAGTTGCATTCGTTGCACGTGCAGCTTTGCGCACGATACATGTTCATGAACTTGCGACCAACTCAATACAGGACATGTGTCAAAAAAAAAGAAAAGATTCTGCTCACTTTTGGAGGAAGGTCCTTCCAAACATATGCCCAAAACCGGGCTCATCTTCTAACATCCAGGTCCTTAAGCTGCCACGAGCCGTCCTTCCCAGGCTGCCTACCAACTCGCGCAGAGCCTCTGTCCCACCCAACGGCTCGCTGGCATTTCAGTGGCCTGGTGGGCTCCTGGAAGGTGGGCTCCTGGCGAATTTCTGGCGTCAGACGCGTAAAAAGTCGATGCCACCGGGGTGCAACGTAAGCGAAAATGGACAGCAAGAGGCATGTTTGCTGGGCTCTCTGCTTTTTGAACCTGCCATGGTTGCGACTATGTTAAATGGAATGCGATGTGCTGGGCTGTCCGTTTTCTGCGCTAAAAAGGTGAAGGTTTAGTGGCTCGAATGGAAAGCAACATGCAGTTTTACTGGGCTCTCCGTTTTTCTGAGCCTGCAATGGTTGCGACGATGCAACGAAATGGAATGCAATGTACTGGGCTCTCCGTTTTCTGACCTGCGAAAAAGGTGAACGTTACGTGGGTCAAATGGACCCCACTAAACCCTAGACCTAAAAGCCTAAGGGGATGGCTGGGAACCACGAAGTGCATTGACATGAAATGCAGACGCGATGAACTGTGTAAGTGACGTAACGTATGCAATGAACATTTGGTGCCGGGTCATGACATGGAAGGTGATGCCGCTTCAAATATGTGTGAATGGACATGCGACCAATGTAGTGTGGTTGTATGCGCCTATAACTATATCAAATACTGTGTTGATTGTGTGGGATGCTTTGAACATGACTCGAACACCCTTTGGGGCACGCGGGAAACTTTGCTGCCATGCAGTGTGCAGACTCTGCCAGAAACTGAGCGCATTATCCGCCCGGCACCCTTTCCCAGGATTCAGAAGGGCAACCTCTTAGAGGGGGTCTTTTTGCCACCTTTGGTGGAAAAATGATCGACCCCCCTGTAGTAGTGAAGCTTTCCTTGTTGAGGGGGTCGCAAATTTTCGCACAAAAGGTGGCAACAAGACCCCCTGCAATCTCGGGAATGCTTTGGCTGCTTTGGCCGCGCATAGACTAGGTCCTCCAGTGGAGAGGTTAGAATAAGGGTACCCGATTTTTTCTGTAGTCTCTTTTACTAGGGGAACCCTCCCGCCAAAAAAAGTTGGTAAAAGGGCACTACTGAAACACCTAGGCATAGATTTTAAGCCAACCACCTCCCAAGGTTCGACGGTCGCGGGGCGCGTCCTCTCCGCCAGTCTCGCGGAAGGTGCGGCTGGAGTTGGACCAGGCCTCCGGCCAAAACGCGGCTTGGCATTTCTGTCAAGCGCCTGGAGCTCTCGGTGGGGACTCGCTGGAAAAGGCGGATGTGGGTCAAAATTAAACCATCAGGGGACCGCAGGTTGAAGTCCATGTTACCACTTACAGGCGTCAATTTTGGGTACCTATTATTGACCCCACACCATGTGGGTCTGTCTCTTTTCTTAGGGACCCCTAAAATGGGTGTTTTCCCCCACATGGAGTTCGGCCTTCCTTTTGGTGTTCCTTGAAGACCAAAAAGGGGTGCCATCAAAAACAAACATATGGGAGTTTCTCAAACTGGCAAACACCCTGTTGGTATTGAAATGGTCTTCCCTTTTGGTGTCCCTGGAAGCCAAAGAAACACGGCACCGACCAACAAAAACACGCATTTTCCCGCAGTAGGCATCACAAGAACATGCGAACGTTGGCTGGTTAAGCCGAAAGGTACGACAGGGACGATCATTCACCATACATCAGAATTCATGACAAGACCAAGACTTGAAATAACCATGCACCTGTTGAAATATTCCTTCGAATCGCTCATCTTAAGACTTGAAATGACCACCTGCTGAAATATTCCTTCGAATCGCTCATCTTATCAGGCTCGCTGAGCCGGAAACGAATGCGACTCAAATCAGACCTAGAAGTCCATGTAAGGCATCCAATTGCTGCGCTGCACGCACCATGCATGTGGATGACATATACTCTCGAGCTATATAGCCATACCGGTTTGTAGCCTTGGATCGGCTGACTTCAAGCGGACGCGCACCCAGAAAGGAAGTAGGGCAAACCCGCTCAGAACGACTTGCGCCCTGATGCGAAAGCGCCTCTCGGTCGTCCGCATTGCCGGTCATCTCCTGTGAAGCAGAAGGGCTTCAAAAAATGGGCTGAAAGGCTAACAGTAGCCAATGATTGCCTTGGGACAGCTTCATCCAACATAAGCACCATCTGGAGGATCCCTAGTTGCACAAGCCTAAAAATGGCCCAACCTTCAGATGCTGAGTCATCCCTCCCCCCGAAGGGCATGGTTGATTCTACAAGGGCACCCTCCAAAAACAAGTTGGTCTGCAAAACTTAGAGACGCCGGCTGTGCGGGTAAGGATTCTCATCCCTGTTTGGATGGCTCAACATGGAAACCAGAAGGAATTATTGTGTTTGGTTCTCGGTAGAACTATTTACTCCCCTCTCTCCTTCTTGGAACCATCCAGTGGCCATGGACAAAATAGAAGCTTCTTCATACGAGAGGTGGACTTCAAAGGCACTGGAGGTCTGAGACACCAGGGCACCGGCCTTCCAAATGTCCACCAGGAGAGCATCCGCTTTGTCCAGAAGCACCAGCCGGTCCTTTCCGGGACCGAAAAAAGAGAAGAGTTTGCCAGGGTTGGGTGTTCAATGAACCAAAACATGAACATATATGGCCGTGGGTCAACACCAATGGTACCATTTTGGGGTAGGCGAATTCACCACCCATTTTGGTATATTTTAGTGGGGATTGGGATGTTCACTGGGGGTACGGGCTTGGGATTTTGACCCATGGCCATATAGCTGTCCACTGCTTAAGACATGGAACACCATTGGTTTCTGCAGGCCCTCGAGACTCTTGGCTTAGGCCCTATGTCCCTTGCCCTGTGAGGCGAGGATGTCTCCCAGACATGGAACCGAAGTATTCCCTGCCACCAACGGGGCAGCAGCAGCCGCTGCAAATTCAGGGTGACTGCCGCAGACTTCTTGACACAGGCACAACCCCTGGAAGTGCACAAAGAAAACCAAACAAATCTGAGTGTTACTTAATATGTGTATGAACAATATATAGAAAATATACTACGACTATGGTCCGTAAGCAAATAAATGTACTACATCACACTTCTCGTTTCAATCCATCATTCACAAATGAGCCCCGTTTGTGGAGGGCATTGGAATAGGGTCTACCCCTTAATCAAACATGGCTGGTGTGCAAACAAACGAGAGACTTGAATACATCTGATTCAGCATTCACCATTGAAATCATCCATGGCTGTGCTGACAAGCTGGTGGCATGTGTCATTCTCGCTTTGTGCGCTCGCAACCTCTGCCATGGGAAGAAGCAATGCCAAACCCTGTCTCTCTCTCTCTGCTGCTGTCCGAGGGCAGTGCCCGCTAGCTGCGTGAAACCGTAAATTATCATGCAAAAACAAAATCCCTTTGAGCAACTAGAAATCGCCCTATGTCAAAGGCAGCGGTCTGCGCTCATGCGGTGTGCATGCGGTGTGCATGCGGTGTGCATGCGGTGTGCATGCCGTGTGCATGCGGTGTGCTTGTCGCCGCCTTCTCCTGCGGCTCATTCATCTTGGGAAAGACTCGCTGGTAGGAGCACACCTCATGGACATCGTGAAATTTGTCAAAGCCAAAGACCCTCCCTCCAACTAACATGGCAACTGACAGGGACCCGCTCCTTTCAAAAGGAAATGAATCTTCCAGGTACCTTTTGACAGGTGCCATTTTAGTTGGAGGATGGGTAACCGTTTTGGGATGGGTTTTCCAGGGAACCCAAAAAAGGCACTTGAAGGGGCCCAGGCTTTCGACAGACAAAGCTCACCTGAAGGAGAAGAAACAACATTGGCAAAAAGCAGCCACAACCACCCGAGACGCCGAGACGCCTGACACGGCAGAACAGGAAGGCCACAATGGCAAAGGGGAATGCAACCTATAAATTGAATTTGAGGAACTCTGCTCTGAAAAGACGTGCCCATCATCTTTAACCAAGCTCGCCATAGTGCAACATCTGCTCCCCCCAGTGGCCAAGGGACACACCTTGCTGTTGACTTCAAGCAGAGGCCCTCCACACACAACACACAAGCAACAGCAGCAGCAGCCACTGGGCAACTGTGACGTATCAGTACCTGCGGCATGGTCCATGAAGACCCACTTCACCAAAAACGTAGCCAACTCTGTGAGAGAAAACCTGTGGGTCTAGGGGTTGATTCCTTTTCCATTATTTTTCAACCATCCTTCTTTTCAAAAACCGGATCTGTTTCCAACCTGGGTTTGGTTTTGGTTCCTGAAAAGATTCGGATGACATGGAAGGTACCCCTAGAAGGTACGGAACTCGCAGACCTCAAGCATCAAAGGGCAGCTTCAAGAAAACCTGCGGAGAAGTGCCCCTTGGCTCGCTCTCCCCGGCCCCCCACTATTGTACCATTGTCAAAGTCACCCCCCAAAATGGTGGGGTAAAGGAAACAACCGATTCCAAGTTCTGACTTTGATAACCCCTAGAAACGGTCAACATGATGACCCCAGTCTCCTGTATGAAACTCATTCGCGCAACCAGACACGCCTTCGGATGGTTGACTCAAAGCCCCAAGAAGACCGACAGCTGGCCGATTTCAAAGGGGACCAACTCAGAATCAAACTGGTGGAACCCGCTCGACACCGAGATTGGCCGCTTGGCTTACGGTTGCGTGGCCTAAAATACTTGAACTGGGTCTTGCAACCCGACACATTACCTTCTGGTGTTCCTTTGAACACAACATGAGTCATCATCAAAACCCGGTACTAAAATGATCGACCCAGAACCATGTAAAGAATTAAGAAGGCGGCCGCAGCTATTTATGGTTGGGATTGTCCCTTGCTAACCTTCATCTCTTCAAACACCGACCAAAGCGAGAATTCCAGTTCAAACGCCAACCAAAACAGAGTTCCTTGAAGACCAATTAAGAAAGGTATTGCGGTTGAAACGCCAACCAAAACAGGAATATTCCTCAAAACACAGACCAGAAAGATGGTCTAAGTGCATGCCTTTTATTTCGACGCGCCTGAACTGCCCTCACCCCCCCCCCAAAACCCCCCTCCTCACCCCGCCCAGTTAGGGCCAAGGCTGTAACCAAGAACTCCGCCTCTCCGACGCTTGGGCCGTCTCAAAGCGCTTGGGATTGGGATCTGGTGCTTCAGGATGCGGATCTTTTGAGGCGTCGTCTTCAAGGAAACCAGAGGCAGACCACGTTTTTTAACGGGGGGTCCCCATGTTGAAACATCAGTTGCCAGGAACCCTTTATGGGCAAGCGCGGGTGAAAGCCACCTCCTTGATCTCGTTGCTGAACTGCAAAGGAGGAAACCCCAATGGCTCACACGGGGCATTCCACTAACTTCAGGCGCCAGATCTCGGCTTTGTCCCAGGCCTCCGGTGGCTCAGACTAACCAAGAAAACCTACTACTCCGGGATGCGAGTCAACTTGATCGAGCTGAGTCGGGAAAAAATAGAAATAAAACAAAGTAGGTAACGCCCGCAAAGCATGGGTCAAATGACTCTTTCTGGCGCAGGCACGAATATGTATGTGTATATATATATATACATATATTTGACCTGCCCCACCACTTGGTAGCGGATGTTTGCAGCCATATCTTGACCTATATTCCCCACCTGGCAGACCGGGGAAGCAAAATAATAATAATAATAAACCTCCGGCCCATTTCTTCTCGCGGCGGGTTGGTCGGGGCGGTCGGCGAGGCGAAAGGGGCCTTGAGGTACTTGAAGAGCCACTGGCTGAAAGCTTCGGAGCCCGACGCCTGCGCATCGATTTTACGCCTAACTAGGACCTTCTGGGGGGATGGATGGAGGGTTTGTTGTTCCAGATTAGGTTAGTAACTAGGTCCGGCCAGATTTGAGAGGTTTGAATAAGTTGGTACCAACTTTTGTTTTGTTTTTCTGGTTGGTCTATTTTAGCAGGGGAAGCCTCCCAACCAAAAACGGAACGGTGAGAAAGTTGGCACCTAGCCGGAAAACCGAGTTGATCAACTGGTGGCTTCCCGGACCCAGCACCACTTTTCGGAGCTTCCAAACAGGTGGAGAGTTGATCAATTGACTGGTGGTTTCCATTGAGAGGTGATCGCCCATAGGTGTCTTTTTAGGTTGGAAATAGATGGGTTTCCCTGGTGAATGATTAAACCACCAGGTGAACCAGGAATCGCCCTCTATTTTTCGAGCAAAACATCCGAAAAGGACACCTATGCGATCGCCACTTTTGCGAGGTTCCAAAAAGGGAAAGGGGAGGAAACCCTGGACCGCAAGAAAGCCGATGTCGGAACAGGCCTTGCTGGGCTCATGTTCTCGGAAGTGCGCATCGCAGAAATTGGCACAAGGTGAGCATTGACACGTGATCACAAGCAGTGATTCTGCAACTTGCACCAAGTGCCTCATGTCAACATCCAGTGGTACAGCTGCAAGGTGCGAAAAGATCGAAACATAGTCACTTGCTTGGCTGTGATCAACTTTTGAACCGTGACTTGGACATCACTCACCCTGTGCACTCCCTCCCCCGTTCAACATTCCAGGAGATTGTTGCATTGTGAACGCTAGCTGAGACAGGCACGTGCCCTTCACCCTGGTTGACTATCAGCATGTGGGTTCTGGTTAACATTGGGAAGAAAGCAAAAGCTCCGGCACTGTGCAGGAAGCGCTTTGCGGTTTCACAACCGCCAGTACAACCTACTGACAGTACATAGGGCAACTTGCAACCGGCCAAACGAAACATGCAACCCCTTCTAACGCGGATATGGTCTTCCCAAAGCGCAAGACAGACTTTGTATGATCTCAGCAAATCTTGCTGGTTCTCAGTAGGGAATGAAGGAATGACCCCGATAAACCATCACACCATCCTCTATGGTTTCCTTTATGGGAATCCCCTTCCGGTTCATTCCCAACACCCAGAAGGTCATTCCCTACCGAGCACCAGCAAGGGGAACCGTACAGCGCATCTGTTTTTGGAGTTGGTACCCTTTTGTTTGCTTGTTTACAGGAAAACCAAAGGGAAAACCATGGAAAACCACCATTTTGGTGGGTCCCCTATAAACAGGCAACACAAAGATGGCCGAAGTTGCTCTAGGCAATCCCACCATTCGGAAGAACTATTCGTGTTCCCCAGCTGGTAAAAGACTCCAAGAAGCTCTTGGGAATCAAGGTTCCTATGCCTGACCGTGATAGATTCTCAAAACCGTTGACTGAAACTCAACCCATCACAAAGGCTCCAACTTAGACCACTACAAAGAACGACCCTCAAGAACAAGAATAACCGCCGCCCCGCATATGTTGCCACTGCCATATCGTGCTGATCATTCAAAGCAGACCCAACAAGTTTCACATCCTGAGAGCCAAGTTCCTACTGTAGACTCAGACTCGTCCCAGAAGGCCAACGTCCCATGGCCGACTTATCCAAGGAATCCCACTCCCCCCCCCCAAAACGCCGCCGCAAAACGCCCGCGAGACGCATATCCCAGCCTCTGGCAGGGTGAACTCCATCAGCTGGTTGATCGCCTGCCGGTTTGGAGCCCCGGCACACCTCGCCCCAAAACCACAGAGCGCGCTGAGCGCGCTGAGCGCTTCCTATCAGCTTCTGCGAGGTTGGGGGTTTGGATTGGTGGCTTCCCCCCATGTCCGCTGTAGGGGCCCGGGGCTTGAAATCCCAAATCGATCAAGGGGTCGCCTGAATTGAACGGTCCTGAGAAGAACAAAAATAAGTTCCCCCATGCCAAAGTCAATCAGAAGAGTCGCCGGCCCCAACTGCAGAAGACATCACTCGCGCGGTCGCCTTCACGTTGGCTTCCGATGACGGCTCCTCGTATTGCCGGAAGGGCCTCAACAGCAGAGCGCGATCGGAGATCGGATTTTTCCCCGCGGCGCTTCCCGGACCAAGGACATATTCGGGTACGGCGCAAAAACCACTACATGGTGCTGCATGGAAATCAAGTGGAAACCTATATCTACATATACATATATATATATCTAGATATACATATGTGTGAAAAGCAGCCCCGGAAAATTTCATTATTTTCGGGGCGGTTCTCTTCAGGGCCTTGACACTCGGCCTGCCCAGCCCTTCGAATGCTTCTCTTCTGGATCCGGCTCATTCTGAGATGCATGACATGTTTGGAATTCCCCCGAATGGGTCAGCTCAAGTCCTGATCGCATCACCCCAAGGGAGGGCAGTTCTCAATCCACAGAAAACGTCAAAACATATTCATAGCAGACAAGAGTTTGTCACAGCTCAAACACGGATCCAGGCGCACAAAGGCCCACGAAAACCTTGTTGGGTCGAAAACGGCCAGCACGCAAACGTTCGAATCGATGCTCCTTCGCATGCACGACACCTTGAAACATTGGAAAGCCCAACCAAGGATATACATGTTGATGGCTGAACACATGACTGTCCCAACGAAAGGGCACACAAGAGGCCCCAGAAGGCTAATTTCTCCACATGAATCATGTGGTTCCGTCAAACGCTCTCGCCCTCAAACAACAATACGGGCAGTGACCCTGCCATCCGTCTACCAGCGTTGTCTCACTTCGACACTGTGCCACTTTCCAGCTGAAAAAAGTATTGGCCTAGCTGCGATGTTTGACCCTTCCCCACACAGACACCCACGCACACACACACACACACCTGCCAGACTATGAGATTTGAATCTTCAAACAAACAAAGCAAACAAGAAACAAACACAACACAAGCAAACAAACAAACAAACAAACAAACAAACAAACAAACAACCAAACAACCAAACAAACAAACAAACCAACAAACAAACAAACAAACAAACAAACAAAAACAAACAAACAAACAAACAAACAAACAAACAAACAAACAAACAAACAAACAAACAAACAAACAAACAAACACACAAACAACGCAAACACACAGACAGACAGGCAGACAGATAGACACAGACACAGACACAGACACAGACACAGACACAGACAGAGACAGAGACAGAGACAGAGACAGAGACAGACAGAGACAGACAGAGATACACAGAGACAAACACACAGACAGGCAGACAGACTGACTGACAGACTGACGGACAAACTGACAAACGAACAAACGAACAAAAACAAACCCACAAACAAGCAAAACACAACACAACCAACCCACCACCTTGTAACCAACCAAAAAAGACGCGGAGCCGTCGCTGGGATTTCCGCAAGAAGGGCGAGAACTCCTGCAGTGCTCGGGTCCCTGGCTCTGCCGCCGCCATCTCCTGCGCCTCGACCACCGCGGTGTCCAGCGCCTGAGGATGTTTGCATCTGGGAAAATGAACCCCGCATGGGCGGCTCGTCTTTCTTTCAGGGTACCCCTTTTGTTGGTTGGACACCCACCCATTCTGGGGTGTACCTGGCCCGCAAAATGCCAACTGAAACTGGGGAAAAAGGCGAACCAACATTTGGGGGTGGATTCCCCTTGGGTCCAAGTACCCCTTTGTGTAGCCTTTTGTCGGTTGGTTTAAACAGAAACCAAAAGGAACACGTTGCCATTTTTGGGGGGTCCTCCCAAAGACACACCATGGACAAATAACGACCATGACGTTTCATGCGTCAAGTGGGCACTTCCCATGGGCTGGAAAAAAAACAAAAAAAAAAAAAAAAAAACGTCCCATGCGGAAATGGCCAATTCGCCCTGTTGGACAACCATTTCCCACAACCACCATTTGGGTCGTTATAATTCACCCAGAAACATGGAATGCAGACATGGAGAAATGCCAAATGGAAACATGCCATGAAAAGCAAAGATAGGCCTATACAAGGGAAACCATGCCATTAAGTCTTCACTTAACACATCAAATGGAAAGACAGGAAAAGAACGAAACGCATACACTACTTGGTCAGGAACACAAGGCGCAAGAATCCCAGTCTCAAGTCGTGAAGAATCCCAACGGCGCTGAAATGGCTTCGTGTTTCACAGGAATCAATGGTCTGCTTAGGAGAGATACATTCATCCTAGCCATCCGGTTCCTTTGGTTCGGCTTTCAGTTGGTTTAGCTTCCATTTGCTCAAGCCTGGAAAGAATAAAGCATACCCTACTCCAAGTACCCGCCTTTTTCAGGGTATCATGTCGACCCTCTACTAAACAAGGAGGTATTTACCATGGAAAACCCGGGTTTCCCAAAAGTAGCCTGAAAAAAACGGGTATTTTGAGTAGGGGGTATTTCCAGTAGTGATAGACTCCCTTTAAAACCGACAGGGGGACATAAACATATTCTGAAGCAAATGGAAGGTCACCCACTTCTTTTCCACAAAATCGCAGGGCGAGAACCGATACGATCCGATCCCCTCGCCTCGGCTTCCACCAAGCCTTTAGGCCTGGACAAAATCGGCTTGGGCCGGTTGCGTCCTACGATCATATGTTTTCTTGGCCGGGAAACACATGCAGAGTTCACAAGTTGATCAATCTGTTTAGGGCCCCAACAGGGCCATGTGTAGCTTTTCCCGTTTAGTGGTGAAAGTCATATTCTGATTTTTTGGTTTCTTTAATGGTCCGCATATGTAAAGGACCTATTGATCAATCCTTAGGCTGACATGTGCTGGTTCGGGGCCTTTTGAAGGGCCCGAAGCTAGGCAATGGTATAGAGTAACGTCCCCAGTGGGATGGAACGACCACAACAACGTCTTCCAAACGAGCTGTCAGTGGCGTGGGTCAACGCACCTGGTCATCAAGCAATTCCCTGCGACGAGGAGAGAGAAACGACCCAAATCACCGATGCCACTGAGCCATATCTGCTCTCCACTGGGGCGTGGGGCAGCCAACTATTCTTCATCAAAGGATCAAAACCTTGATGTCAAGAAAGTTATTGCCTTCAAGAAGGGTGGCCACTTTATAATAGGCGGATCATGGGATCTAGCTAAACTGGACAAATTGCAGCCCGGGGCGCAGCCACAGCCATGGTCACAAACCCTTCTCTGGTGGTCCCTGAACATGGCTGCTGAGAAAATTCACGGGGGGGTTCTTAACAATCCCTGCCTAAAGGGTGTGTTGTGACCATGGCGCACATCATACAAAGCACCATCAACCTCGCCAGGGATGCTGGTCGTGGCCACGGGACAAGGAGTAGAGCGCCAGCCAAGCCTGCCAGGAAAGGTCGCAAAGCCTGAATGTACATATATACACACATCTAAATATATACACATACTATACTCGCATCATTAGATATGCCCATATGGATTGCCCCCATGATTGATACCTAAAGTGACGGCTGGCACACAAGCCACATGCGGGAACTGATTCTGTCACAAACAGCTTTCCAATTCAGGTCTTAAGGAGACTGGCTGCAAACCTTGACTGGTTCCAGCCGGCATGGCAAGCAGAGCTCGAAGCCACCGTTGGGAGCGCCAACGAGCTTGGGCTAACACGGGCGCATGCTAAGCCTCCATGATGCGAATTAATACGGTTACCATGGTTACCCAGTTCCTGAGTCAGGATGGCTCCCGTCCATAGTTACCTTCTTGGGGCTCCCCATTAGTTTACCATTCGCAAAGTAAGCCTTTCAGCAGATCAAAAAGAACCCAATTTGGAAAGATGCTACAAACAGATCTAACATAGTTTCACTTCGTTTCCCAAGTTTCTGACTTTGACGCCACAATTCGAGCCCCTTGGAAAACAAACAGGGAACCCTTTTTCTTGGTACTTGGCTTTCAAAACAGAACCCCCCGCCCAAAAACAGGCAAACAAAGGGCCTGGGGCTTTGGGTCATGTTCCTCACCTTCTGGGTAGTTGCTGAAAACAAACAAAAGAAGAAGGACAAAAGGGCCGGGGGTGGGTGGGTGGGTTACCACTGGGCGTTCCTTTTTTGGGCGAGCCACCTCTGTGAAGGAGCGGCAGCGCAGGAGCGCCTGCACCGTCAACAGCCTCAGCAAATCCGATGGCGAAAAAGCGCGCCGAAGGAACGGCTGGAGGGGTTCCAAAAATGTACGCACTTCTTGAGTGGATTGGTAAATACAACAAGCTCTTTGTTTAATATAGTCTTCCGTAAAAGTACAAAGTCCAGCACCTCTTGTGTGTGAATTACTCTTGGGACACGGCACACTCTTTTTTAACTCGTAGGGTCCTCACAGCAGACAGCTGGCCTGCTGCTGACTGCCTGACTGCATCTCACCGAAAGACCAACCCCACAAAGGATACCCTCAGAAAATAAAACACCAAGGGGGGCTGGACAATTGACACAAGACGCCATCACCTTTTGGGTTTCCTTTCATTTTCAATCTTGCGGGCGATGTATCATTCAGGGGCCTGGAGCAAAAATCGATATCTCGTTTTGGCGTCCTCGGGCGGAATTACACGCTCCGGGCTGTTTCGCACGCAAAGCCGATAGGCAACCAACCCAGTTCCATCCGCCCTAGCAAAAGAACCGAAAGGAACATCGCTGGTTACCTGTTATACTAAGCCGGATGTTGGGGAAGCTGGAAGGAACTCAAAGGGCGTTGCCCCCTTTCGGACTAAAAAAGCTCACAGCTTGGCGATACCTGCGGTTTTTCCTGTTTTTACGACCCAAGGGAATTCTATGAAAGGAGTCTTCAAGAGCCCAGAACCCTGGAATCGGCCCAGTGGCAACCAAGGTGAGTCCAAAAAAAGAGACTGGATTTTGATAGGTGAATGATTCGCACGCGAACACCCGCGCCGATGTTGAAGGAACAAACCTTAGGACATGTGACGGGAATCCATAGCCCATCTCTTATCACTTCGAGTTGGTGCTTTTTGGATTGTTGATGAACCAAGTCGCTAAGTGAATTAGCCCATCTGATGCATACCTAGAACACCCGGAGCGGAGAATTTCTGCTTCTTGCCGTAACTACAGAACTTTTAGTTGTTTCCATCAAAAGTCGCCTTTTCCTTCAAAAAGCGCCTTTGGGACACGTGCCATACCAACGGATAGGCAACAATGCCTTTACGTCGCGAAACAAACGCCGTTGTGTCGGGGAAAAACCGCCTCCGCCAGTTTGTTGCATACATCCAAAATGACAAGATTCAGGCAAATCGCTTCAAGGCAAAAATATGATGACCTTCCCTGAAAAGGCAGTTTTCCACGGAAAGGTGGAAAAAACGGACTTAGGAAGACCCAAATATGTGGAAGTATTGCCAAAGTCCACTGAGTTGTTCCATGTCATCTTGAGAACATTCACGCGCCTGATGTAGCAATTGCAAACAGAAAATGACATAAAGCTCCACTTCCAAACGGGTGTGGCTCCAAATTAAACAGGAGGGGTTACGCAGGGTTTGGTCCATGTTTCCACTTACCAGGGTTCCATTTTGGTCCGGTTTTTTGAGCCACAGCCAAATCTCGCTGTCTGTCTGACCCAGGCCAGCCACGCAGCAATCTAAGACAAGCGCCGACCCTTGGCAGCAAGCGCTGCATTCCTGCACAAGCTGAGTATAGCCGTTGGGACCCATAGGTCTCCAAATGGAAAGCTTGAGATTGACATAGCCATTGGTGCATGCTTTGTAAGGAGGAAACGTTTAAGACCTGGATAGTTCTAGGGGTTGATTCCTTTTCCATTCTTTTCAACCATCGTTTGTTTTTTTGAACCAGCTGTTTCCCCTGGTTCTGGACGGCTTTCTGGAAAGATTCGGATCCCTGGGTTCAGAATGGAAATGGAAGTGTCCCCTAGAATAGTCGCCCAATGGTTTAGCTGCAGCTGAAGCAGAAATTCGCCTAAATGGCCATGGGTCAAAATCCAAATCGGTTATCCAACCACTAAAATAGGTTCTACAATGAGAGGTGACTTCTCCATTGGTTTTGAAGCATGGCCACATATCCAGCTGCCCTTGGCTCAAACAACTGTCCCAGGAAGCCTGTGATGGCAAAACATGAAGCCTCAGAAATGGGTAATCCCCCAAAATGGGATCCCGTTGAACGGTTTGGACCACCACAGCCAAATTCCGTTGCTCATCTCTGGCATCTCCTTGCCCCAGCACCTTGCGCAAGCTGCCGGCAACTTCTTTGCTCGTATTCACCCGAGCGGATTGGCAAAACAGGTCCAAAGTGTTGTTTACCACGCAAATGGTCCAAGCCAAAAGAGTATCAAGTCCATGAACTCAGCTGCAAATACTTTAGAGCCCCCCCCAAAAAAAAACAGGCGCATCATTCCTAGGTCCTCCAGTAGGGAGGTTAGAATAAGGGTACCAACTTTCTTCTGTAGTCTACTTTAGTAGGGGAACCCTCCCAAAAAGGGTAAAACAGAGCTCCCTATATTTCCCCTCAAAACATCAGCTTTATGAAGCGAGGCTCACCTTAAATGGGCAAAAAAGGTGATGTTCAAATGCACCAAAAAGGGAAATATAGGGACCCCTGTAAAAGGGCACTACCGGAACACCTAGATTCGCAGCGGCCGTGTCCTGCACACATCGGTAGCGATGTAATTGTAGAGGGCGCAGATGGGCAAGCAGCGTGCTGGCTGGTAGTCCATTACCTCACCAAAAAGGTCGAAACAGTGATGGAAGCAAGCCAGTGGCAAAATGGCGATGGGTCAAAATTGAAGTACTAGGATATAGACCGCAGGTCTTTTAGTCAACTGGTTTCCATTTTCCAGGGCAACCCATTTTGAGATGTTTTGACCACCCAAATCAGCTGCTCCAGAATCCAAACGCCCAAACGGGAAGAAAACGTGGCCTCTGCAAAAAAAGAGAAAAGTCGACCGATGGTCTACGCTTGGGCCGGTGTGGCTCACATCAGCGTGGCAAGCCTTGTAACAGAAGCAATCAGGCTGTGTCGCTTTTGGAGTTGGTACTTAAAGAGAAAGCCACCATTTTGTGGCTAGAGAAAAGTCGACTCGTTTTTTGTGGCCTTTTTCAGGTGGCTTTAAAGGAAATCAAAGAGAAAGCCACCATTTTGTGGGTCCAACCTTAAAGAAACGCACTCTCATCTGGCCATGGGTCACAATCCCGTACCCCCAGTGAACATCCCAATCCAACCACTAAAATAGACCAAACAAATGGGTCGTGAATTCACCAATCCCCCAAATTTTGATCCAAAACGGTTTTGACAACCACAGCCACCTCTACTACACCCCCATCTCTACAGTAATGCTGACCCCAAAATAATCAACCCCCCCAAAAAAATAATATGGTTGTGTGTCCCTGAGCGGGGAATCAGACCACGTTCAGAGAAGGGAACCCCCATTCATCTCTCAGGTTCCGGCCATGAAGGTGTTCAGGAAGAAGCCCAAGGCATTCAGAAAGTTACTGCCGTCCACGCCTGAATCAGCCGTGCAGCGGGGCTGACGTGAAGCTGCAGTCGGGTCCTTCCACGAGGGACACGTAGCAAAAGACTCTAAACATTGGCGTGTGTTGTTTTAGGTTGGACCCCCAAGATTGTGGTTGTCCTTTTGGTTCTCATAACCAACCACAAAACATCGGTACCCCCAAGAAAAGGACACACCCATTTGGGCTTGTGCAGGCCAAATGGTGGACACCGGCATATAATTCGCGCGAAATCCATCCAGGTGCGCGGCCGCCGTATACGCTGCTTGGCGGCATGATCATCCTGCATGGCCAAGATTCCCTGCTGGTTTGGCCATGGGTCAAAACTGGGCTGCCCTCAGATCCCCCGCTAAAAGCTTAACTTTTAGCTACTGAGCTACTCATCGCCAAGTCATGGCCATGTGTTTGAATGGCTGGTGTGTGTCTCTGTGTTTGGTGCACAGTCGTGTCACGCCACTGTACCTGCTTGTCGAGCTAATATCGAGCTTTGAAAAGCATGGCGCAAACACCTACTGCTTGAAGCCCGGCCCCTGCATTTCCATGAGCTCGCCGGACCGCTTTTGGGGTCAAGGCGCATCAGCTGCAAACCCACGGTGCGTCCTTGTCTCCCGCAAGCCGAAGAAGATCTCGCGGAGACGGAACCTAAGGTCGCTCGGGGCGCAGAAACGGAAGACACATAGGAAAATAGATGGCCCTGGTAGATGATTGAACCACCACCAGGGCCCTCTATTTTTCAACCAACCAAATTGCCCACCTATGGGAACACAGCTCCAGCAAAGGGAACTGGGCTCCCTACCGGTCGGACCTAAACAAATTGTCTAGTGTTCCCTTGCCTTTGATGAGCACGCCGTCGGCTGAGGGGGCAATGGACATGCAAACAGCAAGCAGTGCCAACAAGAGCTGAGATGACACAACCAACTGCATACCATGTCCTTACAGCACTCCGGCAATTGTATCAACCCCTAGCTCAAATCACCAGCTAGTAGACCAACACGATTTTGAAAATCTAAACCATGGGGGTCTAACCCAACCCAATGCAGTGTTTCTTGCAAACAAATAAGCCAACAGTGGAACCCCCTGAAACCCAATCTCCAACCTTTTAGCTTGGGGAGAAAGAAGGTAACCATATGTGTTTTGGTTTTGGAGTGCCACACAACCCCAATTCTACGTATTTGTGCCCCTCATCACCCGGTACAACCCCCGCGAAGTCGCAAAAGTTCGCGCAGCGCCGCGATCCGGGATCCCGGCCGCGCGAACTGCTCACGCCGCGAGGGGTTGGGCAGCGAGGTGGTGAGGATCGCCTCGAGTAACTGAGTTGGTGGGGCGGGGTGAGGCGGGGGGGTGGGGGGCGGGGGGGTGGGGGTCGGGGTGGGGTGGGGTTGACAGGTTTGAAGTTTTACTGTGAACCAGATTGCTTGAACAGAATCAACCTACAACTCACATTCTTCGTTACAGAAGCTTGCCAACTCCAAGGATGGAAAACGTGTTGTTCAACACTATGTGGGCGTGGCTCAAAATTAAACAGGAGGGGTTACGCAGGTGTTGGTCCATGTTACCACTTGCCAGGGTTCCATTTTGGTACCGGTTTTTTGAGCCACAGCCATATGCCTCAAGGAACGCAGAAATTACGTTGAAGCAGTGGGCCCTGGAACGCTAAAATAGATCGAGTCTCAGGATTGATCTCCCCACTCCGATCCACTTGTGCACCACCAACCAGCGAATCCTATTTATCCAGCCGTCAAACACAAAAGCATCCAAAAGGGCTGCTGCTCTGCTGCCAATTTACATGCAACATATTCAGACCCCCCCCAAAAAAACGACCTCCACGTGTCCTTATTCCCTCAGGCCTGAGGGGCCTGTATCTGTTCTGGGGACCTCCTCTTCTTGCGGTTCCATGTAAATTTACGCGAACGGGTACACATTTGAAGCCGGGCCGTTCACCCCCCCAAGAAAAGAAAAATACAAAACGGCCGTCTGTCTATGCGTTTCCATAAAACGAAATGAGCAACACGGACTAACAAAGCCCTGGTTGATTTTGATTGGGGGTGCATCACTGGAGGAACACCCGCCCTAACTCGACAGGTTTCAAAAATTCAGGTCAACATTGCATCTCTTTCACCGGTGCTCTGTTTCTTTGAGCATGGAGCATCCCATATCCAAACACGGGGTTCGATAGACCCACCTCTTGGGGAGTGCTTGAACGAAACTTGGCAGACGATCGAATGAAGGAATTCCAGGGGTTTGATTAAACCTCCAAATAGATTCAAAGTGTATCTAGCTTGCTGGTTCTCAGTCGGACATGAACTCAACAGGGGTGAGGGAATGGACCTGGGGATTCCGGGATTCCCTTAAAAGGAAACCACGAGGGATGCCTCAGGGGGATGTTGCTATCCCTGCCTCAATGATGCTGGACGCAAACAGGGCCGCGTTCAGGTGCGCCATCATGTCCTGCCAGCGACAGATGGCGCGTCGGCGACTGGCCTGCGGTTGCAACTGAACTTGACAAGTGAAACCTGGTTCTGGATCTTTGTTTTGAAGTAGGTGGTGGTAGCTTGCGAGTTGCTTCTCGGCATCGGGAGCCAGTTCTTCGGTCATTACACCAGTGTGCTGACCTCCGAAACCACAAAAAAAACACAAGTGGGAGCTGAGCTGGAATGTCTTCCACCAGCAAACGGGGCTTGAGTTGGACCGAAGGCGCCAGAAAACGGCTGGTCATTTTCGGAAAGACGTGCGGTTTGGGCACCTTCTCTCGCTGCCGCTGAGACGCATCAGCGCTTCGGCCGGGACATGGCCAGCCAGCGTTATGTTGAATAGACTTCGTTTCATAGGAATTATTGCAGTTGCTATTTTGCATTTGAACATTATACAGGAATTCATTGCCAAGGAGGAAATCAATTAGACATTAAACTATAGTCGAATAGGGAAAGATACGTTGGCCGTTTCTTCCAATGTGTCTGCCTTTAAAAAAGAAAACAAAAAAGCAAAAAACAACTAGAGACTGAAAGCAACTCGAGATAACACAAATAAACAACTACTAAACTCGAGCAAACAAAACATGACAAACAAAAACAACCAACAATACAAGCGAACCTCCAGAAACCCACAAAAAACACAAGTTCGAGAAATCCCAAACAACAAAAATACTCGAGCAACCTAACACCGGTTTCCAGAAGTCTTTCAACATGAGCTGTTTTCCCTGTTGTCTCCCAGTCATGGTTGCATTGGTTGGCGTGCTGGAGTTGTTTGGGTGCATGGAGTAGCGGTTTGCGCTGGGCTTGTCAGATTCCGTCCCCTGCATTAGTTTGAGCTTGGCAAACCAGCGTGAATTACGGGAGCACTGCAAGCCTTCCAGGCATTTCTGTTCTGCTCACTTCCCAAGTTGACTGGCCAAAAAAAGTTTGAACTTTTTATTTACCACTAAAATTTGTCTTTCCAAAAAGTTTAAAGTCCACCAACTCAGGAAGTGAGTCTGGTTGTTTCATGGTGTCCTTTTGAAGATCCCTTTAGGCCATTCACGAAGGAACTGTTCGCCCCTGGCGTGCGATCCTTGTCACTGGAGCATCCAGCGATCCCCAAGGGCCACTGTTGCCCCCCAATGGCAACTCCTGCGAAATCCCAAAGTGCCCACTGTTGGACTTCAATAATCTCAGACATCGAATCGAAAAACTGACCAAGCTGGCAGGTAGGCAACTGCGACAGCGTTTCATGGCGTCGCTTTCATTCATAGGAATCAAAGCCCGTATCAAAATGGTTGACCCAGAACCATGCTTCAGGAAATCTGTCCCTTACTAACCTTCATCTAGCCGGGTTTTGGGGGGTCGCGGAGCCCCCGAAGAGCTTCGATTTCGAGGCTCGAGGCGACGAAATCGAACCTACCCCTCTCCCGTTTCCACGCCTTGGGGCGAGTCAGGCGTGCATGCTTGGCCAGAAGGACCACCTCGGACAGAAACACGGATCAGACCATCTGACGTGCTGGGAGAAACCGAGCGGCCAAAAGGGTCAAATGTACAGGACCAAGCAAGCATGCATGCGATCAGAGTTTGACTGCGCAGTCTGGCAACCAGAAGGGGTTATGCATGTTTTGGTCCATGTTTCCACTTACCAGGGTTCCATTTTGGTCACGGTTTTGTGAGCCACAGCCGAATCGAGGTGGGGGAGACCATGGGGGTCAGGACAGAAATTTGTGTGTTCACGCTGTCAGGACTCCGCTTGGAACCAGCCTGAAACCAACTAGGGGTCCCATTCACGCTGTGACTTCTGATTTCTCCTCCGAAAGGGTCCCGGCCCCTCGCCAAATAAAGGAGCATTGACAGGGTAAGAGAGGGGATTGGGGCGGATTTCTATGCGCCTAGCTTTTGTTAACTCGCTTGCCCAAATGAGAATAAAATTCTAGGTCCTCCAGATTTGAGAGGTTAGAATAAGTTGGTACCCGATTTGTTTTTCGGTTTTGTCTATTTTAGTAGGGGAACCCTCCCAAAAAACAAGGGGTGAAAAAGGGCACTACTGGGGGACCTAGAAAGGTTCACCTTTTGGAACCTTGACGAAATATGGACCAAATCAGGGAAACCAAAACCTGACACGGTTGGCTTTGGACAAGTGAGTTAAGCGCAGTGAAACGACCAGAGGTGTTGGCTGAGGCCACATAGGATTCTAGGCGCCTTCGCATGTTGTGCGTGCGGGCCACACGTCCTAGGGTGCTTTGATTGCTTAAGGCTTAGTCTTGCTTCTTCTGTCTGACAATACCTGAGACCTGACAATGTCGCCACCAATTTTCGAGGGACGACCCTTTGGTAAACATTCCTTGGGGATAAACGCCACCAACCATGTTTCACCTTACACCTAAGATCGGTGGTTTGGGTTGGTGACTTGGACGCTCGGGCGTACCCTCCCCATTTCTCTTCAGAAGGAGCTGGTGGGGTTCAAACCGAACCAATCGAAACCAATCCGAACCAATCCGAACCAATCCAAAATAATCCAAACCACCAGCACAGGGGAAATTACCTGAAACTGTTGGAAGATGTTCCCCAATGCCCAAAATTCATCGCCACCACTCGAGCCATGGTCTTGGGAAGCCCCAGCGCTCAGCAGCAGAATCTCCACCCGTGCCGAGTCCTGACGACGAATCACTCGATCACCGTGTGTTGTTTTATCACTTGCTTGCTGGTGCGATTGGCAGGGAATTTGAGATGGAATGACCCCTACAAACCATCCCCTACGGCTTCCTTTAAAAAAATCCCCGGGCTCATTCCCTTCCCTGCCTATCGCACCAGCTTCACTGCCAAGGTGCGACCAATGTCTTTAGGTCCAGGAAATCCCCCCTTCCATGGACGCCCATGGGTCTTCCCATTTGGGACATCGGCTTCGAGCCCCATTTGGAGACGTTTTTTTGGATTCCCCCAAAACAATCCAAACAAGCCACAGGGGCTCGCGGGTCCATGGCTAAGACTGAAAAGCTACTGGGATACTGTGGATGGACGAATCCTGCACCACCTAAGAAACCCTGGAATGATGATTCCCATACAAATACCAACAAACAATGGTTTTTTCTGGTTTCAAAGTGGTGCAGGATTTTGTCTATCCACAGTATGTCACAAATCCCTCTCATCCCAAAGTCTTTACGCCGAAACGTCCAATCAAAAAGTCTAAAAGCCTACTAGGTCCTCCAGTGGAGAGGTTATAATAAGGGTGCCAACTTTTTTCCTGTAGTGCATTTTTGTAGGGGAACCCTCCCCCAAAACAAGGGTGAGAAAGGGCACTACTGGGGGACCTAGCCTAACAATCCAAAAGATCCAAACACCCAAAAGCCCCCAAAAAACGTCGAAAACACTAAATATAACCTTCCGCATGCCTGGGAACCGGCATACGCAAAGGGGGAAACAAAAAAACGGGGGAGGAAACGGAACTTTACGCTGCTATCGGCTCGCTCGGCGCTTGATCGGCTCTCCTGAGGAGAGCTCAAGGACGCCTCCATGCACTTGGTGGAGTTCTTGATGGCGTAGGGGAACTGGAAGACCTCTCCGTTGCCAAGCTGCTTTAATCCTTTTGGCTATTTCGAACGCGATACAGGCTAATAATCGTATATCATAGGTCACCAAACAAGTAAAGTATGTATCTTTTCAAATGTAGGCTTTACTATCTTGAAAGTAGTTTCTATGATGGTTATACAGGTTCTTTTGTGGCTTCGCGGCTTTACATTTATGAAAACGGGTAGAGCCATCTGTGCTCAAGTGGCCAATGACTTGTTTTGCGCTGCTCAATGACGTAGAAACGAGGACCCGAAACCACTGTCAAAGTGCCTTTTTGGTAGATGGATCACAACTTCTTTTTGTAGGAGCATTTGCATTCGGGCTGTCAGAGCCGGTGAATCCTTTTGCACTCCAGGCTTAGGATGTAAGCTCGGGACCAGCAACTGTTGGATTCAGAAACGCAAAGTTCGCCCCCACGCTTTTTCCAACATTCCAGGGTGCCTTCCCCTCCTTGTTTCCAGAAACCCTCCACAAACCCGGAAAACAAACGGCCGGTTTTTGGAAAGAACGATGGTTGAAAAGAATGGGGAATCAACCCCTAGAAACATGTTCGACAGCCATCAGCTTTAATTGCACCCTCGTGGTTTCCTTCGGAAACAAACAGGTGGTTGTTTGAACTGCTTTCGCCCAACGGCACAATCTGCCAAACACATCCAAGGCAAAGCTATCTATTCTCTGTATGGGTCTGTCTTCAAATTGGGGGACCCTTGCCAATCCAAAGTAGGATTCCTTCCGGGGATCTCGAAAACTGGCATTTGCGATCTGGGCAGCGGCAAGCCAACCAGCTAAAGCTACCGTAGCTCCCTGAGCAATCCAATGCTTGCATGAACGGAGTCTACCTAAAACCTTGGAAAAGGAACAAGACAGGAAGGCCGGCGCTCCAATGTATGATTGCGACTGTCCCTCCAAAAAGCCAGACTTGGGAAATTGAGGAAAACCCAAAAAGGACAAAACAAAACAAAAAGCCAAGTCGTTTTTTGTGTGCTGCCAAAACGGTCCCAAGAGTATGAACTCCCACAAACTCAGAAGGTGAGTCGTGGCGTAACCTTCTACAGGGGTCACTGGATGTCCCTAAAGTTTATCAATGTAGTGGGGGTGTCCCTTGAAACGATCGCCACTTTTGGATAGAACAAGGGAAATGGAGAAACCCTGCATGAATGCACCCGATATTGATAAATGCTACTGTTCAAGACTTCAAAGCTCCCAATACCAACATAGGATTAGCAAATGCTAGGCGAATTGTGGGTCAGCAAATTTAGCGCCAACCCCACCAGTTGCATTCGGGAACATGTCTGAACCCATGCCAGGCTTGACCAATAATGTTGACCCAGGATTATTAAGCCCGTCCCATTATTAGGGGGGTGTTCCCTCCAAAAGTGGTCTGACTCCCCACGAAAAGGGGACACCCCCCAATCAACCAGGGGTTCATTAATCCTCGCCCCTCTACTAAAAAAGGTTTGGTATTTACCACAGAAAATCGATCGGTTTTCCCAACAACTCCCTGAAAAAAGCGGGTATTTTGAGTAGGGCCGTAGGGGGAATCCCAGGCTGGACCAATATCATCGAGGAACCCTCCGGCGTACCCTTCTGTTTCTCAAGCTTCCCGGCAGTGTCCACAGCATCGCTCCAGGCATCCCTCGCCTCAGCTTCCGTTTTTCCGCTGACCACAAAGGCCGAAGAGTGGACGCCCCAATCAAACTCCAAGTCGGAAACTAGGGAAACCCATTTTTGGGAAGGTTCCTCAAAAGCACTCAGGGAAGTGAATGCACTGAGGCCCACAAAACGTGCACCGTTCTTGCGTTCTTGGGCCCCCCTCGATTTCTGAGAGCAGAGGGTCAACAGGTCGACCTGCATGAGGACACCCAAACGGAATTCTGAAACATGTCAACTCGTGGCGCAAACCCCGTAGGCAGACAAATGTTCACAAGTTGGATATCCGGCCCCGCACCAGGTCCGGGTCAAAACGGGTCTCGCATGGACCTCGCATGGACCTCGCATGGAACATAGATGTTTCTTCAACCCCTTGCGGCACGGAACTTTTGGACCGGAACAGAAAGGACCGACGTTTTTGTTTTTGTTTTTTTTGTTTGCATGGCACTTGGCAGTTGGGATCTTGATCCCTAGGGACGAGCCAACTGCCCAGGACTGTACCAGCTGAAACGGAACCGTTGCAATGAACTGCAAGGCCCCAGCGCCAGCGACATCGCCCTCAAGCCTTGGCTTCAAGGGAAGCACTGGCTGGACTCGTCGAATGCCATCGGCAATATGGCCATGGGTCAAAATCCAAAGCCCGTAGCCCCAGTTAAAACCATAATCCAACAACTAAAATAGGTTCTAAAATGGGTGGTGAATTCACCAATCCCCCAAAATGGGATACCATTGGTTTTGACCCATAGGCATATGTAAGCCCTCCTAGTTTCTTGTAGTCTACTTCATCTGGTACTTAGAGCCCTCCTAGTTTTCCCCAAACAGTCTGCAAGTGCCATCCTAACTCCTGTCAGCGTCCGTGATAGGGAGGGTAGCGGAAATTCTACTGTTGCTTCGGTTTCCCCTCAGTCTCCCTTAACAACGACCAAAAAGGGCATCCTCTTTAAAACCATTCGATAAACCTATACCTGGATCTCCTGGCACCAAAACACATTCAGGCGGAACATGCTGCGCTCAGAAAGGACCAACCACTGTGGCTTGCATGGCACTTGGGGATGGCTTTTGACAACACTGGGTGCGGGATGCAACTCCAGAATTGGTTTCTTCAGACCTGGGGTGACCCTCCTGGTGAAGAATACAACAACAGCACAAGTGAAGTTGGGAGCCATTGGACAGCGGAGTTTGTTGAGATGAAGTGGCCGGTGAAACACTGCTTTTGTGGGTCTTTGACTTGGGTTGGGGCACATTTCACGGCGAGTTCTGCAAGGGAGACAAAGCCAGGGAATTCTGTTTGGTGAGTTGAGGGCACTTGGGCGAGGGTCAACCACACCCCATTAAAAAAGGCATTGCTTCCGCTCTTGGAGGCTCAAATCGTTGAAAAATATGCTTTTTTCTTGCCCTCACTTTTCCAGGCCATCGTTGGGCGGCTGCGCCAAAGCAGGTTGCCCAACTCGTGCAACGCCTGCGACATTTTGGGCCAAGTGGCACCAGCGTGCTGTGGATGGACAAAATCCTAAACCAGTTGGTACTTGTAGGTGGATTCTCCGTTTGTCTCAGTATTCATAGGGTCTTGTCTATCCCAAGTGCTGGATTGTCCGGAAAGTCAATCCCATTTAGCCATGCACCACAAGAAACGCGAAGCCTCTGAACATGCAAACCACCAAGCTGTGGTGTGCACTGAAAGTGCGCTGGCAATTCTCAATAATTATCCTACTTGCACTTGAGGCTAGCAGGACTTGAACCTGCAACCTCCCCCACAAGAACAGGGGTCATTCATGCAAGTTCATTTATTGGGCTCTCTGCAAACAAAGCAAAGCAACTGAAAAGCGAACAACATGACAGCTTCTTAACTCGCAATTTCCACAGTCCCTGCCTCCACCACCAGGTTATTCATCTGCCGTTTGCGGAGCAACTCGACTGCCTGGACGCGCAGTGCAACCGACATACAAGATGATACATTTCCCGATTGATCAACCCCCATGTGCATGTCACTCCTGATTCATGCCCCCTACTCCAAATTCCCTCTTGTTTCAGGATATCATGTCGACCCTCTACTAAAAAAGGAGGTATTTACATGGAAGACCGATCGGTTTTCCCAACAATACCAAAAAGCGGGTATTTGGAGTAGGTGCACGGAAGGCAACGCGACACGCGGCTGGTTTCAGGTAGAGCGCTTCGGGAGGCGATCGGATCGGCCTTCCGATATGAGGACACCAGAGCGGAGGCGGCCAGCCTGAGGCGGCGAGACCATGCCTTTTGCTTTTTCGCCCCCTGGGAACATTAAATATATATATATATATGTGTGTCCAGTAGTGAAATTGATTCCCTTTAAAACCAACAGGGGAAAATAAACAAACATTCCCTTTGAGACCAGAAGGGTATCGGGTACCCTCCGAAAAGACACCTTGGATTTCCTCACTTTCCCTTACAGTGGTCACTGGATTTCCCTAAGTTGATCAACATAGTGGGAGCTTCCCTTTGAATCGATCGCCAATGGTGGAGGCTCCAACAAGGGAAATGGAGGAAACTGGACCAACTCTAAGACAGCAAGTTTTCCACCAACCCCAAATCCAGTTGTATTCACATTTCTGAACAAATACGTACTGGTCCGCGACCAAAACAAATACTAAACCATCAGCCAATACTAAACCGATACGAAACAAACTCGCAATTCAACACCAGCAGATTGCAATGTTGAATTCGGCCCGGACAGGGCGGACGTAGCGGGACTCGTACCAAAATGTACGCCCTTAAAAAAATAAAATTGCAAAAAATCGCTTCGGCCCCAGGCAGGAGTATCTCTACTCTTCGGGGAAGAGATGACTTTCCGGAACTGCCAGGGTTCCTTTTGGTGAAAAAGCAAGCGGATTCCCTCCAAAGAGACCAACCAATCCGCAGGAAAGAAACTCTCCAGGCCCCAACCTGAACAGAGCTGGAGAGGCAGGAGGGTGAGAGATCTGTGATGAGTTCCTGGACTTCATACTGGGTAAAGTTTTGGTGTACCTGGACCCTGAAATGTCCCTTAAGAATAGGTTCTTGCTATGGGGTGGATTCGCATTTTTGAGGGTAGTTTGAGGGTCCAGGTACAAACAGTTTAGACTCGCTTGGCCAACCCACTCAAGTGAGCCTAGGGGTCTTGGCGGTTTTGCCTCTGACTCTATCGGCTTCAACGTCTGATGGCTTCCCCTTGGAGTTGCCCGGCGAAGAAATGCTTCATGCAGGATGGAATCCCCCCGCAAGGGATCATTTGACCCCCGGCCCCCCCCAAAAAAAACATAAATAAATACACACACACAAG